TTTAAATACTCCCTAATAATTCGAGCGTTGTGAACTGAACAGCCGTCTTGATGAAACCAAACATTCTCCAGATTTACATCAGGAAGATTGAGAATAGCGGGAAGAACATGATTCTGTAACAAATCGAGGTATACTCTACTATTCAAGTTGCCCTCAATAAAAAATAGACCTATTATGTGGTCTCCTAAAATGCCAGTCCAGACGTTAACTTTTTGAGGACGTTGAGTTCGGTAAACAACACTTCTGTGCTGGTTTTCCCGCGCCCAATACCTCGTAATGGAAGGATTGTGTCTCCCTACAAACGAAACAGAAGATTCATCACTGAATAAAATGTTTTTAATAAAATTTGGTTCACTATTAGCCTTCGTTATTAGAGTTTCACAAAACTCCATTCTTCGAAAGTAATCGTCTGAATAAAGCTGCTGCGTTTTCGAATATTTAAAATTCTTGTAACCGTGCTTTTTCAATACTTTCGTTACAGTAACATTGCTAACATCTAACTCTCTAGCAACGCTTCTACTTGAACGTGTTGAATCTACCTCGATTGTTGCACAAATTTGTGTATCCCGGTATTCTCTTTCCTCAACTTTTTCTGGTAACACTTCTCGAGCGTGACATTTTTTGCAATTTTTGAGGCAATAACAACTCTCAAAATTTTTAACAATATTATAAATTGACTGTACACAAGGAATTGGTCTTCCCTCAAAAACATAGAAAATAAATCTACACACTGTTGCGCAGAATTGCCACCATAAAACCATTTTATTATTTGAGCTTTTTCCGCGGCCATATAAACAGACATGTTTACAAAAATAAATTAAAACTCTACGCTGTTATACCTTTAAACAACCACGGTATAATGACAATATGACAAATTTGCCGACGGGCGACGTGCAACGACGAGTCAACGAAGCAGATATGTAGTGCAAGTTGACGACGCGCAGTGTTGCCATTTATAGAGTGTATACCTAATCCAAAACTTAACGCACTGTATATATGAAATATATTTAGCGGAATAAAACAAGTTTTGTCCACCATAAGTAGTTAATCAGAAAAGGTTTAGTCACAACCAGCCAATGACAGGACAGCATTCGCCCTACCCATGATGTTCTGTTGTTTGAGGTTAGAAGTTTTCACAATGTTTTTTTCAGCTTCATTGTTACCATGTAGCAAAGCTAGTAGTGTTTAATTTAATATTAATTAGAATGAGTGAAGTTGTTGATGACACCTTTGTAAGTGTAGAAGATGGAAATGATGGCTCTAGTAAGAGGACTATAAATCCACGATAAAAAAGACTATCAGAACCTAACGGTTACAATTCCTTCAACGCGTGCTCACATTCCTCTAAAAGGTTTTCGTGTAAAATCTACTCCCAGTGATTGTTCTCATGTGAGGAAATACTTGCTATATGTGTCAATAAAACTGCTCAGGACAACTTCATTTCAAGTGATTTATCCCTTCAAAACATCAAAATTAGGCCTCGAAATACAAGTAACGAGACACGGCCTAACTCTTGTTCTGTTGAGTACACTTTGATTAAGCAAAACACAAAAGTTATCAAGGTATGTAAGAAGTTTTTTATGTCAGTGATGATAGTCAAGCCTACCAGATTAAGCAATATTATAAAATATATTCGTAAGGGGGAACATCTAAATGAGAATAGACGACCGCAAATCAAATAAAGAAACACATTATTCTAGAAATACATCAAAGCGCATCTATTTGGATCAAGACATGAATATCACAAAAGTATGGAAAATGTATAATAATTTACAAGATAAAATCTCGAACAAAGTATCAAAAACGATGTTTTGAATAATTTTTCAAACTTCTAATATTGGATTTTGCTCCACAGCATCTGATGTGTGTATTTACTGCTACTAAATGAAAGATTTCGTCAAAACCACAAAGGATCCAGCTAAGATGATTGAGTACATGACTAACAAGCGAATTCACGCGATTCGTGCAGCAGCATTTTATAAGGCTATGAAAAAAGAAGAGTCTGGTTCATTCACTCTGTGCTTAGACTTACAGCAGATTCAACCGTTACCAAAATCACCGATTAAAGAAGCATATTACTCTAGGCAAATTGGATTATACTGTTTCTGTGTTGATGTTGATCTACCTGAAAATTTTACATCAATCAGACTTTTTTGTGATGGGTGTGGAGCTCAAAATAAAAACAATTTCGTTTTGCATACACTTGTGCTCTTTTTGATCAAAACTAAGTCCAAAGTAACAGATATCACAATTACATTTCCGGTGAGAGGGCACAGCTTTCTTCCTGTCGACCGAGTGTTTGGACGAGTAGAAAAATTGTTGCGTAAACAGCCAACTATCATCCACAAAGAAACCTACATCGATGTATACAAATCAGTTGGAACATAAAATTACTGGGACAAGATTGGAAACTGTTTGACACCAAAAGTCTTTCATCATCATCATCATCTTTGGCTCGACAATCCTCTGTGGATCTTGGCCTGCTCTAAGATTCGTCGCCATTCTGTTCGGTTTTTGGCAACATGTTGCCATCTTCTGATTTTTAATAATCGTAAGTCGGTTTCCACTCCATCTAACCACCTAATTCGCGGTCGGCCTTTGCTTCTTTTTCCTACAGGTGTTCCTGTGGTTAGCTTTTTAGCAATCGTATTTTCTGGCATTCGTATTATGTGTCCAGCCCATCTAAGTCGCTGTGTTTTAATGAACGTTATGATATCTGGCTCATCAAAGAGCTGATACAATTCAAAATTATATCTTCTGCGCTACTGCCCTTGGTCGTTTACAGCTCCAAATATTTTGCGGAGTATTTTACGCTCAAATATTCCCAAAAGTCTTTCATCTTTCTGCGTTAGAGTCCATGTTTCTGCTCCATATGTGAGGACCGGCCTCAGCAATGTTTTGTATATAATAATTTTAGTTCTTCTTTGAATTTTTCTTGATTGGAAATGCTTTTGGAGTTCATAGTATGCCCTATTTGTAAGATTTATTCGTCTTTTGATTTCTTCGCTTGTTTTATTGGTAGCAGTCAATAGCGACCCAAGGTATGTGAAGTTGTCAACACGTCCAAGGGTATAACTTCCAAAGACTGTTTCTCGTTCCTCATTTGCTATCGGATCCTTTGTAACCAACATGTACTTGGTTTTGTCTTCGTTGATGACTAGACCGACCTGTTTCGCCGCTGTTTCCAATTCTAGGAGATATTGCTCAACATCTCGCTTGCTACGCCCTACTATGTCAATGTCATCAGCATATGCTAGGACTTGTATCGATCTATTGTAAATAGTACCGCTATCCCTAATTCGTGTATCTCGGAAGCCAGAGCATCCCCTTGTCTGAGTCCATCCTTTATCTCAAAGGATCTAGAACTCTCTCCCTGTATTCTAACAGTGGCTTCTAAGTTAAACATTGTCATTCTCGTTAGTCGGATAAGTTTCTCTGGTATACCAAACTCATGCATTGATTGGTATAGCACTGTTCTCTTGACACTGTCGTATGCGGCCTTGAAGTCGACGAATAGGTGATGGGTTTCAATATTGAATTCTAATGTTTTCTCAAGAATCTGTCTTATTGAATGAATCTGGTCAATTGTTGATTTTTCTGGAGTGAATCCAGCTTGATATTTACCAACTATGCCCACTGTGTAAACTTGCAGCCTTTCGTAGAGAATATTTGCTAGTATTTTGTAAGCAGTTGTTAACAGGGTTATACCTCTATAGTTGTCACACTGGAGCTGGTCACCAAAAGTCTTTCAGCAACAGAAAAAGGCTGCTTTAGGTCTGTGGGCGGTATCTCAGACTGCAAGAGAATTTTCATAAAAAGAGACGTTGTTAATCGACAAACTGAACTCTTGGTCAGAGACCTAATGAACTTTGTGTTTGAATGTGAGACGGAGGTTGGGAAATCTCTTCAAAAGAAAGGTTGGCCTTTCTTTTGAAGAGAAGAAAAGAAGAATCGAAAAGAAGGACGATCACACAATATATTGGTATCTTCGTATCGTTTTTAACAATGCCCCTGGAACAGAAAAAGCTGACCGTGATGAAGAAAACCGTGACTGTCTAGAAGATGTTGGGGTGCACGTTTGAGTTTTGAATTTTATACATTTAACTTTTGATCTTATACTCATAAGTCATAGAGTTATGGCTGTTTAAATCAAATTTATTGTTTTGTAAGTTCATTTTATGACCTATACCTATCTATAGGATTAATCAAAAGAGGATTAGTCGTAGAGTTTATTCAAAAAAGTTTGTTTCATACCGGTCGATCAAAACGCTAGTCCATTGAATAAACCTATTTTTTTATAAAAAAGGTACATAATATTTTACTTTTATATTTATTTTTAGTGACCAGAAATACCATCTATCTACAGATCTATCATTAGAAAAAAATTGTCATAACCACAAACATAAAAAATAAAGAAATAGTTTTTTGATTTTCTGAACATTTTTTTAGTTAAACTTTGAAAAATAAGGCTATTATCGAGCACAAGTTAATTAAATCTAGCCCAAGCACTTTCGCTTAAAATAGCATCTTCAGGGGCATCTGAAATAAGCCAAGAAAAGGTTTTTTAAATGAAGGAAATTAGTTAACTTCGATAAAAAACTCGAAGTTATTGGATGAAAAAAAAAGTTTTGAGATTAACGTTTTAGACTTACTTCGTCAAAATGTAAACTATCCGGCAAGTAAGTCCAGAAGTAAGTCTAAAACGTTAATCTCAAAAACTTTTTTTTTTCATCCATTAACTTCAAGATTTTATCGACTAATTTCCTTCATCTAAAAAACGTTTTCTTGGCTTATTTCAGATGCCCCTGAAGATGCTATTTTAAGCGAAAGGACTTGGGCTAGATTTAATTAACTTCTGCTCGATAATAGCCTTATTTTCAAAGTTCATTTATTCGAGCATTTAACCTCATTTTAATTTTTCTAGTTGTGACAAATCCTTTTTTGAACGCCACCTGCTCAAATAATCACCAGTGATTAATTAATTTCTTTTTATTTTTCAGTCCCTGGAAAGCACAAGACGTATGTTGGCTCTATGCGAAGAGGTAAATATCGCACTTTTACTGGCTATTGGTGTCTGTGTTATTTATAAGAACTGTTTTTCTAATCCTTCAGCTCATATTTTATAGGTAAAACTTTCTAGACTGCTAAAATAAAGAAAAGTCATCGCGCTTTCTTCGCTAATTTCGCCAGCATTTCTGGCCGGTCAACTTTCACAGAGATATCGACAGACTTTTCTTTGTTTGCTGGCGACTAATCTTTCAAAAATCATCCCGAAGCCGATATATTTCTGTGGGAAAAGAGAGGAGAATAAAAAACCCTTAGTTTCTTGTAATCTGTAATTAACTCTTGTAATTCTTTCTTTCGCTCTAAATGTTTCGACGTTTGTGCAAGTTTTTCTACTTCAGATCGGAAAAAATAATAAAAAAAAAGATTGATACGACATGGACGTTTAAACTGCTTTAACACGTTGGGTTACTGTAAGATATTTATAGGTTTAGATATAGATTTCGAATTCAGTTACACTTTATTCATATTAACTTCTACCTATTGTGTTGTCTCTGTACTCATGTAAAGGCCTCGCGGTAACATGGCATTTCAATTTCATTTGGGATCAAAATGAGATCAATTTTAAGTTTCTAATGACGCATTAAATCAAAAATTAGAATGGATTACAATTGTTAAAATTGTACAGAACGAACGTTTTTGACGTACTTGCTAAAAAACCTAATCACTAAGCAGTGGGTGTGTTTAAATTACATATTAGATACTTGAAAGAATAAAATTAAATGACATGTTGTCGATGGTTAAAGATTTAATTTCCGGGAATTGTATGTCTCTACTCGAAACTTACACCCACATGAGGACTGGTGTGCAGATACTAGCCAACTCTAGATATTATCAAATTTTACCTTCAACTTCAAAGTGGTGGGAATAAAAAAATATTTGCTGAAAAAAAATCCTTCAACCCCTTCTTTATTGCTTTGGTGATAGCTGAAGTCAAGACAAACATTTCAAAAAAAGTTTTCTACGATCAATAGTAGGCAGTTAGCTTTGGTTAGGTTTGGTGGTTGTGCTATCCCCTCTACTTACACTTTGACATCGTTCAGCTCGTGAACGGCTAGTTGGATCGTAATGCTAAGCTTATATTGTCTAAAAGACTTAACATACAGGACCTTGCTATGTGGCAAATGACAGGATTTAGCTAATAGAATAAGATGAGAAAGAAAAATTGAACATGGCGGCATAACAAAGGTTCTTTAGACACGTATCTTTGCTACTATCGGGCCAATCGTGACGTGCGAGATATTATATGCCAAAATTTAGCTAATAGAATACAAATACAAAGAAAAATCAAACATAACTTAGTTTAATTTAAATTAGGCTAACTTTTTTTATTGCATACACAATAAATCTATCTGAAAGAAAAATGCTCTGCTCCTGCAAAATTATTAAACATTTAAGAATTTTTATTAACAATTAAACGTATCTAGAAAAGGAATTGGCAGAGCGGATCGTACGAAGTTTCATTCAATTTGCAATTAAAACAGCTACAGTATAATGCTTTTTAAACAAACACAAAGAATTTTTACAAAAGGTATTTCAAAAATTTAAAATGGCGAAAAATTGACATTTTCAGACCTTCAATTATAAATTTTACACAAACTATTGTGTTTGCTTATAATTTCCGTAATTTTTATTTAAGAACCATACTTTCATTACTTTATTCTTATTTATATTATTAACCTAACCTAAAATGGTTGTTTACAACAAATAATGCGAAAAAAAAGGACGATATAATTTCTGATGAAAAGGTCTACTAATTGCCGAAAAATAATATTAAAAAAAACTATTTATGTAAAATTGTGTGGGGAATCCAAATCCTTATTCAGAATGGTATTTGGATAGAGAAAATAATTAGAAATTGCAGAAAACTGTCAAAAAAGACAGAAATTTCGGAAAAATTGGCAATTTGGCCATTCAAGTGAATGTACTACCATTTCATGATCTGATATAAGAGCTGTTGTTATGTTTACCTTAAAGTATATACTTTTTCTAAATTTTGAAAAAAAAAAATTGTTTTTGAGATATTGTCCAGTCGTCAGAGATTTGACCCCTAAAAAATCATACGAACAAGCTTAATTTTGTCGAGAATATCAATTTTGGGACTCCAAAAAAGATGCAAAATGTTTACACTTTTACCCCCGGGCTGCCCCCTAAAACCCCACTGGTAGGGGGTAAAGATGCAAAAAAAAATCGATTTACCAAAAATCTGTAGGTTATAGAAAAAATGTTTCAAATAAAAAATGTAGCGAGATAATTTTGAGCAAAAATGTATATTAGCACTTTTTGCGTTGAATGAAGCGTTCTCTCAAAAACAACGCTTAAAGCGACTGGTGATTATGAATTTAAGTTCCGCGCGTGTAATCAATGTTCAATAAAATTTGTATCAATTCGACGGTAAAAAAAATGATATCTTTTGATCAGTGTCCTATCGACAAAAATCAGAATGCGGTTTAAAGGTGAACAGCGCTGTTTTCCTATGCAATGTTTGTATTTTGCCGCAAATGAGGTCAGTTTCTATAAAGCTTTTCCATAAATAAACTTTGCGCGATTTTTGTCAATTTTTACGATTCTCGTGAAATCAATAAAATTGATTACTTTCATTGACCGGTCCTAGTGAAATTTTCCTTGTTAGAGACAAGTCTTCAAAACCTATAACATGAAAATTCATCTTTTCCACTACAACAATCTGCTATCCATATCCGTCTCCCGCACAGCTACAATATTCAACTTATAACTGTTCTCCACAACAGCAACGATACCAAACTCAATAGTCATCAGCTCCATCACAACAGCAACAGCAATTGTCTCCCGCAACAGTATCACAGCCTTCTGTACAACCTATTATCTCCAATGTCTTCTACCATTGGATTACCGTCAAAATCGGATATCCTCATCCAGAATATGGACCTGCAGCTCGTCTTAGGAATCATTTATCTCTTATTCAATAATCGTCTTCGGGGGTGGTATGTGTTGATGGGAGCGTTGGAAGCGGAAATGGAGGATATACGGGTAGCTAACAACTGTTAAAATAGATGAGACTTCAAGAAAAAGATGACATTAATCAACCATAGAGAATTGATATTAGGCCAGGGACATATAATCCTCAAGTTGAACAAATTTCTCTAATCTTTCCTGATCAGTTAACTCAAGATAACCAAGCATTTAGAACCACTAAAGATGAACTAATTCAGCAAATAGTGAAAGTTGACCGAGAAATCAATAATAATGTTATATATTCTTATAATGTTTATGAGATTGCTTCTATCAACAGTTCCATATAGTGGAACCCTAGGGGTAGTTTACCCCATGTATGTGGTCGATTAACTTTAACTCACTGGATACTTATAATTACTTTATTAGTTCTCTAAGTACAATAATAGATAGAGTACCCAGTTGACGGATGACAACACTAACTTCGACCGTTCTCTTAACTCTTCATTCTTAATAATAATCCTACTCCCGTGATTTCCAGCTATTTAAGTCACGTGCGTTTGTTTATATAATGTTGTTTTTACTTGTTTAATTTTATACACGTTATTTAATAAGCTTTTGATTACATTGCAAATTTCACTAGGTCAGCTTGCGTCATCTTTACACTGATATTTTCAATGTCATAAACAAACAATCGCGTTTCGCAATAATGTGTAATGTTATTAACAGGATTTTAAATTTTTAAACTGAATTAGGTCACTTGGATCTGATGGTTAATTAAATCCCGTTACAAATTGCAAAGGCAGGTCACAAATTACTATCTTAAAAAAGAAGCAGATAGAATTGAAAGAAATGGCCAAAAAACCTGGTGTTAAATTAGAAGTAGAGGAAGACACCACGCCGAAACATCAAAGTGTACCTCAGAAAATATATGCAGAGAATGGAAAAAGAGCACAGAATGCACATGCACAGCTGGATTCCTTAGGACCGAATGTAGAATGGCCACTTTACAACCAACCAAGTGACGCTCCCGTATACAATGAAAACAAAAGAATAAATGCCTCATGAAAATTCGAATTTGATTTTTGGCAACAAATATGAGTCAGTTGAATTATGACTAAAAACGCAGAATTTAAACTTTTACATTACAAATGATCGCACTTTACAGGAAATACCTCCAAGAAGACGGTTGGTTGTAATATGAAAGTTTAAATTCAGCGTTCTTAAGCATATTTCAAATGCCTCACATTTGTTGCCAAAACTCAAAACTAAAATTTCATGATATAGCTTTGGAAGATAAGGTTCTAGTTATGGAAACTCCATAGTGTCGGTCAATAAAAGGGATACATTGTATTTATCTCATGAGAATCATAAGATATGATAAAAACCGCTTCACGTTTATTTATTTCACACCTTTATAAAAACTGAGTTCATTTGCGGCAAAATACAAAAATTGCATACGAAAGCTACACTCTTTACCTTTAAAACGCATCTTGATTTTTGTCGATAGAACACTCGGATCAAAAGATATTGAATTTTTACCGTCGAACTGATACAAATTTTAATGAGCATTGATTTCACGCGCGCAACTGACAATCAAAATCACCGATCTCTTCAATCGTTGTTCCTGAGAGAACCGTTCATTCTACACAAAAAATTATAATAAATATTTTTATTCAACTTTATCTTAGCTACATTTTTTATTTGAAACATTTTTTTCTATGGCGTACGCCGTACAGATCTCTACGTAGGGGTTTTTATGTGAAAGCTCGGAGGTAAAAGTGGTAAAATTTTTTGCATCTTTTTATTCTCCTTATATTGACATCTTCGGCAAAATTCAGCTTGTTCGTATGATTTTTAATTCGTCTCCTGGAATTTCCAAATTTTTGTTGATAGTTATACTAATTAACACCGGGATCGTGTGCAGTGATAAATATTACGTCGGGAATGTATTTTTGAATATTTTTGAGTATCCAGAGCCCGCTATGCAAGAAGAAATGATAAAATACGGGAAAAAATTTTTATCTGGAAAAAATTTAATTATTTT